AACGCTCGAAACCCTTCCTCCTCCTCAACTCCTCGATATTCTCTCCCAGATGAAGACACTTGCCAGTAGCGAACCGCAGCGCGCCACCGAACTTCTCCAACAAGCGCCTCAGCTGGCCTACGCTGTGTTCCAGGCTCTTCTCCTCATGGGGCTCGTTTCTCCCGAAGCCATCCAGTCTGTCGTTGAGCCTGGAGCTCCCCCCGCCGCGTTCCCTCCTGCGCCCATGCCTAACTACCCTGTCGCGAGTAACACTCCTCCTGTTGCTGCCATGCCTTATCAGGCACCACCTCAGCCCTATGCTGCTGCTCCTGTCGCGGCTCCCGCACAAGCTGCGCAGGATCCCGATGCCTTGATGCGCGCAGTTATGGAGCTTCCTCAGTCACAAATTGACATGCTTCCTGAGGCAGAGAGGCAACAAATTTTGGCTCTCCGTGCTACGTTTGCTGGACAGCGGAGGTAGACACATATACTCTCCAGCACGTTTTAGGTGTGCGTCATCGGAAACTTCACAGATCATTACACATTATCAAACATGTCAACGGCGCGTCATATCCTGGCTGAGGTCGGCAATTGGGTGTATAAGGCGTTGGGGCGCAGGCTCAGTTATGAATTTAGTGTTAGGGAGGAAGCCATTTCTGGGCAATAACCGGAAAGCAGGGCAACATCTGCATGTACTATGCGTGTAAATCTAGAAGCACGAGAGATCAAATTATAAATCTACGTAATTGGGTTCTGGACGCATCTTTCTTATTTGTAGCTTTTGGTCTTGATGCTATGAGAACAAATGCTACTCGAGAACGCAGTTTAAGTATAGGGTGGGTTGCTTCAGATGTTGGTAATACTGATTGAATATGGTTAATGTGGCAAGAACTTATGAATGATATTTGGAAGAACAGACCATGAGTACTATAGGTATTAAATACAAGTGTCTGGTCGGTAAGACAGGATAAAGTTTTATGGCTCCTGAAAATGATACAGATTGAATCTAAATTGAGATGATCACCAAGCAAGCACAGAATTGAACATATGTTTGTAACGAATGACACTATAAATTGGTTCTGCGCCTCAAAAATGGCCGAATCTAGTGCCGCAAAAACATTTCTAGGGAAGAAATAAGTATGATAATAGTGGTTTATGACAATTTTGTGTACGAATCTCTAACCATAAACACCGCCCGAAGAACAACCTTCCTAACAGTCCCACCCTTTCTAACAACCCAGAGGTATACGTGTTCGCAGAAAAGCGAGTCCCAAATAGACATCCATTTTCCAAAACAACTCTCCAAACACCAAAATGACAAAGAGAACGAAGCAGCAGGGTCAAGTTGGCTGTGTGCCTTGCCATGTGCCGTGGATCAGATTGTGCAAAAAAAAGCACCAATGTCTACCCCTTATAAATATTCGTGTGCAGTAAGAGGGTTGTGTTGTTTTAAACAATGTTATACACCCTCTTGGCGATCATATAGCATGCCAGGCCAAAGAACAACAGACCAGCGGTAATCCAGAAGAACCACGTAAGGTCTCCTTCGTATTCCTGGCCTGGCACCCATACGTTCATACCCCAAAGACCCGTGATGATGTTCATGGGGAGCACAATCGTACCGAGAACAGTAAGCTTGCCAAGAACATCTGCCGTCTGTTCTTGACGCTCATTCATCCGTATGTTGATCTGTGCGAGGTAGTTACCGTGAGATCGAGCCAGTATCCTGTACATATTAGCAAAATGTAGCTCCAATCGTAGAGAAAAGTCTTACTTTTCATAGTGGCCTAGGTTAGCTGTCATTGTGACGATATGGTCTTGAATGTCACCCAGGTACAAACCAATCTCAGACCGTGGCGCAACTTCCCACCGCTCATTGCAACGCTTAGCAAATCCCTTGATCACATCTGCCTTGTTGCCTAGCAGCCTGTATAGACTCATAACTCGCTTTCTGCAATCTCCCACTCGCCGAAGCATATCTGTGCCTGGATCTGAGTTTGTAAGTGCATCATCATTCTTGGAGGAGGTCTCGTTAAGTCGCTTATCAGCAGACGAATGCAGCTTTAGGATGGCGTCGTCAATCTCGTCAACCTCGTCCTCAATATTATGTATCAAGGGAGCAAACACGTCGGTAATGTCGTCGATAATAGCGTATGAGATCCAATCTGAAGAAAGAATGAGATAATCTTTCAGTTGCCGGATTCTGCGTCGGACATTGGCGGGATGAGGTGTCTTGGAGAAGTGAAAGCTGAGAACGCCTTCGCGAAATACCACGACATACATATCAACTGGCTCAAGAAAATTATCGCTGTTGTTGTCTTGGTCGAACGACCGATAGTTAACAAAGTAATAATGTCGGAAGAGCTCGACCTTCTCGCGAGCCTCCTGAAGCATAATATCCTCTGCGGTAAGTGGGTGAATGCCAAAAGCTTTAGATATCACCTTCATCTCAGGCTCCGTTGGGCAGAGGACATCAAGCCACCAGACTGGTCTTTCTCCGTACCTGACATTCCTTTCCTTTTGTTCGCCTGCAGTATTCTGAGAAACGTGAACACCTTCATCGGCAGACTTCCGTCCAGTAGGTGTAGCACGTCCAGATTCGCTTCTTGAAGCAACATGTGCGAGAGGATCCTTGAGCGGCGACGTAGTCCCTTCGCGCGAGTCGTGGTGATCATGAACTGTCGATAGTGATGGCTGGCGCGTGTGAACTTTGGAGTTACCCTCTGTAGCGGTGCTATGATGGTGCAAGCCCGTTGGAAGAGCTGTAGGTTCCAAGTCGTCTTCATCTGATTCGTCGTCGGATAGCACCCGAGGATCTGGAACAAAAAGTTCCCGGAAGCCACCACCAGGCTGAACCAGCTCGGAGATAGTCTGACTGTGAATTGTGCTCTGGAACTCCTCGTTGAAATATGTGAAACGATATGGGGACTCCTCGTCCGTCTGGTACCATCCCTTACGCACAGGGCGCAAGCGGCCGTTGATGAGCTGCGGTTCTGTGATTCTCTTTACACGGCGCTCCTCCGTTCGGTCTTCCTTTTCCATGTGACTCCACTCCTCCAGTACAGATAAGTCAGGCCATTGACCACGGCGGCGGCGCGTGCGATACTGTCGGTGCTCATGAGCCTGCGATTGTGTATCGTCATCTCCGAGCTCTGACATACCAGGAGCAGGAAAGCAAACGTCCTGCTCAGCTCCGGTTGCCATTCGCCGGCCCATATCAGGGCGATTGTCACCCATGCCCTCCATGTCGGAGAGGATGTCGATGTCACCCATCATGCGATGCGGAGAGTCGTCGCGACTTGTCCCAAGCCCATCCCGAATCATAACATCCCCCAAGCTTAGTTCTATCCGGTCCGCGGTACCAAAAGTAGGCGAGCCTGGCATGGATGGAGGGGCGTTGACATCGTAGTTATCTCTTGCGCCAGACGAAGTTCCTAGGCGCGTCGTTGAAGACTTGATAGACGCGCGACGACTTCTCGTTTGGTTTGATCTTGCGTCACTTGCGCCGTAACCGGAAGTCACTGATTCGCCGAGCAATGGTGCGTTTTCGTCCCACGGTGTGGGGTCAGGATGCTCTTCCCCGGCAGAGACAGCTGGTATCGATCGTAGACGGTTGCTGGCTGAACCTGAGTAAGGTGAGACTGGTATGCCGCTGGCAGCTGGCGTCGTTGATGCTCGACGGGGACGCAATGGTTGATGGTCCCTAGAAGTTTTTGTTAGTAAATTGCCCTCAATATTCGTACCGGCCAGTCTAGCTTACCGATGATCCAACAATGCTTCACTATCTATACTGGTATTGCTCAAGTTGGCTCTCGGAAGATTGAAGAACCCTTCTCCCGTTGCTTCGCGATCCTCGTCCTGATCACCATCATCCAATGCCGCAAAACTCTTTCTGCGCGTTCGCTTCTTCCTGCCGCCGCGATGGCCCTTCCTCTTCCTAGCCTTGGATGCGTTGGAGTTATTTGACGACTCAGGAGCCTGGAGTTGATTGGAGGTCGAAGCAGGAGGAGTCGCTTTGCTAGTGTTTGCCAGGTCGGCAAAACGATTGCTCGACATCGCGAATACCTTCAATGGGCGAACAAGCGTTTTTAAGACGGGTGAGAAGAGAAGAAGGCTGAGGAGGAGAGGAAGACCACCAACGCCAGAGGTGCAGTGTGGGATTTCTCGCTTGGAGCTGCAAATGGAGAGGTAATGATGTCAGCTGTCAATGGTTGACAGGGATATATTTTAGTGTAGTTTCCTCACAGACAACTATGAGATAGCGGAGGCCAAGAGCAGGCCAAGAATCACCCTATTTTTTAGAGTTAAGATGTGAACGGGTTTTTCTAAACGGACTTCTCATCCATTACACTTTGTTCTGTATAATATTGGTCGTGGTAAACGGCCGATGGCCACAAATGCTGCCCACGTGATGTATTCACAGTAAACAGCATGTTAACTTTAGCGGCGATTCAACAGGGCTGCAAACAGACACAGGCTGACCAGTAACCTATGGCGATGCACTTGCTGTGAATAGCAACGGGTCCCCACAGTTTGGGGTGATTCGTTTCAGGTTTTCAGTGATAGACATGGAGGTTAGTAAGGTACTGGGTAGGTAAGTAGTCATTGAACCACTTGAAGCGTCGACTTGTTCTGTGATCAGTATTGGTCTGAACATACCTACGCAAGTGATGCGACTAAACCACGATATCTTTATTTCCATCTACAGCATCAATGGATGTACTACATGGCATTTGACTCTGGCCGGCACATCAGATGGATGCGTACCATCAAAATAAGCAGCGCCTTGAGGTTCGCTTCATGTAAGTGAACGTCTACCTACCTGCCCGCAGAGCCACATACATACACCCAAAGTGATCCCAAAGAGCCAGCCCTCGCCAATCCTGAGTTGACATAGGGCCAATTCAACTCAATGTTTATAGAGAAGGGACAAACACTGTGACTACGAAAGGTAAGGCATGCATCTGAGCATATGTCCTCCTGATGCTGAATAATTTTCACCGGAATCAATCCTCAGCGAAGGCGCGGTGGCAGAGTGGTCTAATGCGATAGACTAGAAATCTATTCTCTTCGGAGGCGTCTGTTCGAATCAGGCCCGCGTCGATAGGACCGATCATTTACAGCATCGGATGTTATCTTTTTTGCATATTTCACACTACAAGTTAGGAAAATTGTCACCTAGTCTTCAGCTTGCTTGGCTCCAAGTCTCGGTTGCTTTATGTGTGGCTTCGGCATTACTCCTCTCTTTAAATATTCATAACTTTAGAGGTATGTTATTTCTGATATGTCAGGTCTAAGTTTCTATTATTATCAGTATATATTCTGCTGATATATACCAAAGTAGTACTGAGTTCCGTGTTTTTCCCTATGGAACCAGTCTCCGCCAGAACAACATGTGCATGGTATCAAAAATAATCCTCAATCAACTTCAGTTGCCAAAGTCCCACAATTTAACTAGTAAGCTATCTGGTTCGGCATCAGCCTCCCCGTCATTTGGCGTGAAGACCTTTTTGGGGATGTGGAACTCAATAACAGGCGCCTTCTTTACATCCTTTGTCATCTCGGCTTCGAGGAGCTATGTGACTGTTAGCAAAGTGCCCTACATATATTGCCGAAGGAATGGGGGCTTACAGTGGCATATGAGTGATCGAGGAAATCTTCGATGTTGTAAGACTGCTTCGTGAACTGCTCCGAGATGATCTTGGTGATAGTTGCAACATTAGGATGATAATGCGATTGAAGTTGAACAAGCTCCCACAGGCAGCTTTCTATCGCATCTGTTTGCATAGGGTCCGTCTCTTCGGAGAGGAAAGGATCATCGACACCGTGCTCCTCAATTTGCTTCTTCACCTCTGGATCTTGAACCTCTCGATGAATCATGAATGTACATGTTGGGTGACGCTTGAGCAGGTTGTAGATCCAAGGAGTCACGAATACGATAGCTCCAGGGGGTGCGTTGAGCGCAAGACGAGCAAGGCGCTTGATGAAGCTGGCCACCATGGCCGCTGGTAGATGTGTCGAAGCAAGGAATGTGTCTAGAAGACGGAAGAATCGGGATCGATGCTTGGAGTGGAGAATGTCGCGGTCGAGGAGAGAGTAGAGCTTGGTATAGAATGAGGGATAGTCAAGGTTGCGTTCCGAAATCAAGTAAAAGACACCGGACAGAGCCAAAAGAGACATTGAGCCGCCCGAATCGTAGCAATTTGTCAAAAAGTCCGAAAGTAACTCAGGTTTTGTGAACCAGGGAGCAATCACGGTCGAGATGACGTTGAGAATTTGCTTTCGCTGGTCCTTTTCCTCAACAAGGGTCATGAGAGAGAGCCATGCCTCCTGAGCTTGTTTCTTGTGCTGATTGACGTTGCGTAGATTATGTGTCTTCTTCTTTGGCTTGGGAACGAAGAAATCTTCAAGTTGATCGGCAGATTCAGGGACACCGTCCAAAGCTGACAAGAGCGCAAAGCATCGATCAAAGAGTTCTGGCGAAGCATTGCCTTCTTGTTTCTCCACAATGTGTCTAAGTGATGGTCAGTTGACAGCTCCCTGAGTTATCGTGGGAAAAGAATCAGAGGCGACTTACTTGACTGCGTTGAAGGTAAAGTAGCGGATATCGTCGTATTGCTCCACATACTCTTCCACATATGCCTTGATCACATCCTCATTTTCGCTCTCGAATAATGAGGAAACAATCTCTCGAAGGAAAGCTCGAGGGAATGTGTACTCGTCCTTGTCATAAAGGAACTCGCCCTCTGCCTTGAGTGTTTTCATGCATAAGGTCAATGCTGGGGTCGCCAACTCTTCATCCTGTAGAATAGTAACCAGAATTTTCTTGAACTCGGCAAATCGCTCCTTCAGCCATCCCACAATAAAAAGGTCTTTCTCAGATAGAGTCTTCTTGGCGATCAAAGAGCCTTGAGTGAGTAATCGGATAAAGATTCGGCACAAGACAACTGTAGAGAGCATGCTCTCCTGCCCCCCATTCCTAAAATCATTTGCAGTACTGAGCAAAATGGTGAGGTCGTTATAGTTCTTCCGTGACTCTAGAATCCCTTCTTCCATTGATAGAATTTTGGCGCTGGCATCTTCAGATTCATTGCTGGATGTTGACGATGCTCTCTTTCGTCGCTCAATGGTGGACTTCTGATGAGTTGAAGAAGACCTCTTGCGCTTGAGGCGCTCTGCAGAGGCCGCTTTGGGCATCGTGGGTTTGCTAGAGGCGTATGATGACTCCGTTTAATATAATTTGCGCAATAGAATGAACTGCCACTTTTTCCTTTTTTAAAAAGTCAAAGTCCCTACTTTGAGAAAAACTTACTTCATTCAAGTTCATGAAAGCAAAATCTCGAAATCTTTCTTTGATCGTTGAAAATTTGACCAATCATATCCACTCATGAGCCAACGGCAAAATGCCGGCTCCAGATCTAAATCTGATGTATCGAGGTCACGTGTTCTTGATTGTTGCCGAACTAGCGCGATAAAACCTCAACCTGACTTCCAGCTCTCCGATCAACGACAAGCCCCGGATACCCCCATCACGAACCATCTCACAATGGCGTCACGCTTGGCACGAAGCGCCGTCGGTATGTGAAGAAATCTCGAATCCCTCGAACCGAATCCAATTCGAACCCAATTGGCGCGCCGCCGACCCCTGCTGACTCCTTATATATAGGCGCTCCCCTCCTCCGACCCGTCCTCGCCCGCCGAGCTGCCCCTGCCATCTCTGTTGCCGCCGCGCGATACAACAGCAATGTTCCCGCTGAGGACCCCAAGAAGAAGGCCCAGAGCATCATCGACGCTCTTCCCGGTAACAGCCTGCTCAGCAAGAGCGCCATCCTGAGCTCCGCCGCTGGTCTTTCCATCTACGCCATCTCCAGCGAGTACTACGTCATGAACGAGGAGACCATCATCGCCATCTCCCTTCTCTCCGTCTGGGGTGCCTTGATCAAGTACGGTGGCCCTGCCTACAAGGAGTGGGCTGAGGCGCAGAACAACAAGATCAAGAACATCCTCAACAGCGCCCGTGCCGACCACACCGAGGCCGTCAAGGGCCGCATTGAGGACGTCAAGCAGATGGGCAGCGTTGTTGAGATCACCAAGAACCTTTTCGAGGTTTCTAAGGTAATTCCGAAGTGTCCATTGGATGGTAGCTGGAAATATGGCTGATTATGGTTGTGTTTGTAGGAGACCGCCAAGCTTGAGGCTGAGGCTTTCGAGTTGGAGCAGAAGACTGCTATTGCTGCTGAGGCCAAGACCGTCCTTGACTCTTGGGTCCGATACGAAGGTCAGGTCAAGCAGCGACAACAGAAGGAGCTCGCTCAGTCCGTTATCGCTAAGGTCCAGAAGGAGCTTGAGAACCCCAAGGTCCTCCAGCAGATCCTCCAGCAGAGTGTTGCTGATATTGAGAGTACGTGTAGCCAATTATTGCCAATCAATGGCGTTACTAACACTTTCCCTCAGAGATCGTTGCCTCCAAGGCCCAATAGATAATTACACGCCGCCGCTAGAGTCTCGGTCCCTAGATTCCACGGTTTTTCTTTGTACCCCTTCTGTGTCATAACAACACCTGTGCATTAGCCGAATCAATCAAGACCCTAGTTACTTCATTGTCGGAAAACTGTTACCCGTGAGATCTTGGGAATTTTTGGGTCGATTGTGTTCAATTGGGTTTGTCGGAGCTTGTAAATTGCTCGTCGGGAAAGGTCGGGATCTCCGATATCGCCTATTCTCGGCGTATAGCAAATGTCCAAAACAAAACATTTCAGCACAACGACTTCGTCTTTTCTAGTGAATCATTTCAACAAATGCCCACCGTACACTTTGCAGTCTCTCGCAAATCGTCCCATTTGGTCATGATGCTTCATCATTACTCGAGGCTCTTTGATGAATACGGGTTGTTCTGAAACTATCGTGCATCTACACATGATTAATCATACATGGAAAAGACCAGCAACCTCCAACGCCAATTCCAAAGGCATATGCTCTATGTTTCCTAATATCTTTGTCCAAGAAAACCACCCCTGTTCGTCAAACATTTAGGAAATAGTGATTAAGAAATGCGTAAAGCAGGAAACTTGACGGGAAATATTGAACGTGAATATTAGTAGATCGGTCTCGATTCCTCCCACTTTTTTACTTCAGGGGTTGCCTTTGTTGGCTCTGGCGACTCTAACTGAGAGTCAGGACCGAGTGATACCCGGCCGCTCCGTCGCCTCCTTGTACCATCACCCGCAACAGGGCCAATCCACTCCCAAGCGCGACCTACCTCGCCGCTTCTTCCTTCGCGCTGACTGGTTCGAACATTGCTGTTTTGTTCTACAACAGCTCGAACCCGCTGCCAGATGCGTTCTCGCTCAGACAATGAGTGAATAGCCCGGAGGACGTCGTCTCTCAGGTTCGGTAAAAACAGCCAAGGATCATCGATGCCTTCTTCACCTAGTTCCTTCTGATTGGCAAGTCTACTCAGTACTAGGTCGACGAGAGCAGGAATTTGAGCAGTTGTAGCTACGTGCTTCCGATATCGGGCTCGTAAGTAGAAAATAACGAGAATTAAAACGCTCAAAAGTCCAGCTGGGAATCGATATCTTGCCAGGCCGAGTCGGATTGATCGTTTGATCGTGCAGGTGTACGGAAGGCGAGCGAGAGACGAGGACGATAGCCATCTGTCTGAAAGATCGGAGGAATTGGACGATCTGTAGGGTCGATGGTGGATCTGGTTAGTCAATAGTCAGAAACAGTTGGAGCAATGAAATTGTCGCCAGATCGGTTATGAAAGTCCTGGGCTGTAAAGAGAGAAAGAACTTACGGTGCTGTCTCAATGATTTCGACCTCATCTCTAGCTGCGACCTCACCAATGGCGGCAGCCCACAGTTCATCAAACTCCTCCTCATTGAGTCTCTTGGACCTCTTGCGGCTCACAGTCGCCTTGAGCTCGTGTTCAGCCATCGCAGGAGAATCCTCTTTCTTGCCATCCTCACCAACAAGTTCTCCGCACTCATACTGAGCTCGGCGATCTCTGAGTTCTTCAATAGCTCTATCAGCTACAGCTTTAACGCGGCGCGCTTTCTCGCCATCCGGCTCACAAGTAGGTGGAAGTGGCACTAGCCCAC